TGGGCATTTGCTCCTAACGTTCCATTGCCACCAAATGCACAGCATCATAACTGGGTACTGCCTTCTGGGAGTGCTGGCACGGTGAAGCACACTGACTCCAACCCCCTCTTCGGCTCTCTGTGTCAACTATTTTCTTCAGTGGTCTTCATTTTCCCAGGATTGGCAAGACCTTCAGAGCCTGGCTCACAGCAAGCACCGAGGCTGTGGCCTTCCTCTGGGTCATGTGTGCTACATGTGCATCTGATAGTAAAACATTTTCCATGCTGCTTGGAGGTTTACTCAGAAACTTTTCCCCAAATACCTATACATCCCTCAAGAAGAACGGTTGTTTGTTTCCACAGTGATGAAAATCAGCCACAGAACACTGTGTGAGCTAGGCCCATGATGCTCAACCACCGACCGACACTCCACCCCAGCTCTTATTTTTATTTCTATGCTGTAATGAGATACTGGGCGATTCACCAAACAATGATATCTGTCCAGGTCCTCACTAATTGCCGCTACCTTTGTAACTTTATTTGGAAAACAGGTCTTTGCAGGCATAATGAACTAAGGATGATCTGAACTTAAAGTGAACCTTAAATTCAATCTCTGTATTCTCATTTTGAGAGAGAGAGAGAGAGAGAGAGAGAGAGAGAGAGAGAGAGAGAGCCATCTAAGTCACAAAGACACAAGGGAAGAGGGCCAGGTAAACGCAGATGGGGAGGCCAGAATTCTCCAGTCATAAACTGAAGGGCAACAGATGAAAAAAGAATCAAGGAAGTCTGTCCTGAAATTTGTGAAGCTAGCATCTTGGTTTTGGGTTTTGGTCTCCTGAACTGAGGGAAAATAAGTTTATTGTTTCGAGGAGTCACGCGTGTAGCATTCTATAGCAGCCTTAAGAAAGAGGAAAAAAAAAAGCCAATCCTAACTCCCACACAACATCATCCACCAAGCTGCAGCTCAAAGCAATGAGCATTGATCTTGAAAGATGGAGAGAAACATCTCAACTGCAGGGCAAGAATCTTGGACCAGGACCCAGACACCAAATCACTATGGGAACTTGGATCTGCCAGTTACCCACAGTTCTTTTGATAGCTTGCCTAGCAAAATAAAATAAGTAGCCTCCTAAGGCCTTCTCGCAGGCCTGAAATACCCTAACGCGCTCAGCATCAGCCTAACCTATCCGTAATTACTTCCTCCTAGTCACCTAAGTTTATTCATTTTATTTTCATCTAAACAGTTTCAAACAGAAAAAAAGACCAAAATGATATTTCAAAGGCCTTACTACACTCATACAAATCTATTGCAATTTGGAATAGGCTAAAAAGTGACTTTCTACAATATCACCAATTTTTTTCAACAATTTACATGCAGTTGATCCATTTCAGAAAAACTGAAAATAAAAGGAATCAAGCTGAGTGTCACTCACTGGCTAGCATTTGAGGTTTTATCAAGTCATTGCTTAAGTCATAACATTCATGGTGTAAGTCATAACAAGGGTACACAGTCACAAATGACTTCTCCAAGACAGGGCCTTTCTCCACCAGTCTCGGACTGTAATTAAGGGTCCAACACTTTTCACTTCAAAGCATCTGGTCTAAAACTAAATGAATACAACTCCTGCCACTACCAAATCGCAAAGACAACAAGTCTTTGAGTCAATGAGAGTCCAACACAACAAAGACTACTTTACCCATCTTTATAAACTGGGTTCAACAGAAACACACGCCGTTTTTGGTGTTAAATGTCTCCTTATGGAGAAAAAAGAAAGTAGGAGAGAGAAAATGAAAACGAGCCAACAAAGGAGTTGACGACGCTATTTGAAACCACTCCACCACATATCCTTCTGTTGAGCTGGGCTAAATTAAAAATATCACTTTTAAGTGGTTTCGTAGATCACACATGCCTTTGCCTTCATGTGTGCCTAGTGGCAGCCTTGGTTCTTTTTTAAGAAACCAACCAAAACAACACAGAGGAACACGAAGCCCGGGGACTCATATTTCAGTCTGACAAAATATCCATTTGAAACATTCTGACTTAAACTTTTCCAAACCAATTTTCATCTCTCACAGAAAACAGAATCTACAGTCGTTGGGCCAACGCTTCAGCCCAATTGGCACAAAGATCGCCGTTTCCAAGACTAAACTTTTTCCTTCCAGGTGGAAACCTACCGCGAAAACCCAAAGTCCCTCCATCCTCTGGAGGGGCTGGAGAGCTCTCTCAACAAACAACTTTCAATCCCGAAGTTCCTGGTTTTCCAGTGTGAGCTCTCAGACTTGAGTATGGGGCTGAAATGGACTTGAACAACTTCATCTCGCATTTTTCAGACATTAGTAACTTTACTTCAGAAGTTGTTCTTAAAGAGCACTAAAGCTAAAGCAGAAAACTGCAACGTCTCCGAATGGGTTTGGGGACCACAAAGAGCCATCCTAAGCCCAAGTGTCCAGCAAGCTCCACCTCAGGTGCAACCTCATTTTCAAGAACACTTCTGAGCACACATGGTGTTTCCTGGAAGCCCCAAGCCAGGATGAATGAGCTTATGAGCTTTAACTGCACCGACTTAGTGTTTATTTGCATCCTCACGTGGTACTCGGCAACCGGAGCGGCGCAAAAGCAGAGATGGTATGGGGCGCGCCCGGGAACCCCGAAAACTTTTCTTTGCAAAGTAGCCGAGGCCGGTTGGTATGGCAATCGGCCACCCTGGTCCCCCACGCTGAGCTTAAGGGCTTTCCCAGCACCACCCCCTGCCCGCCGCGGCGCGCACACAAAGGAGCATGGATACAGGGGAGACCCCCCCACCCCGAACCCGTTCGGCGCACCCCCCACCCCCACCCCCGGAAAGGGCCAGGGGGAGACCTGCGTTACTCACAGGGTGACCGTGCGGTTGGGCAGCGTGTCCGGGGGCAGGACCTGCGCGAGCTCCAGGCTGCTGCACACCACCTTGCCCTCGGCGCCGGCCGCCCTGCCGGTACCCCGGGCCCGACCGTCGTGCTTACAGCCCGCTGGCAGCGCCGCGACCCCGCGCTCTCCTCCCGTACACAGCAGGGCGAGCAGCGCCAGCGGCAGCAGCAGCGGCGGCTCCATGCCGCTGGCCGGGCCTGCGAGCCGAGCGGCGTGGGGCACCGGCCTAGCGGGAGGCGGCGGGGTGAGCCGGGCCCGGCGGTGGCCCGATCCTCCCGGCGGCCCGAGGACCGATCCTGCTCCGCAACGACATGCTCCTTTGTCCGCGGCCGCGCTCGCCCTCCGCGGAGACGCGGGGTCAGGGCCGCCGGGGCGCAGCTCGCTGCTCGACCCGCGGGAGCACCGCCTCCTCCCGACCGGCTCCTCCCCGCGGGGCCGCTCCACCCACACCAGCCCCGCGCGCTCCCCGAGCCGCGGGCGACCCGACCCCGACCCGGGCACGCCCCCAGGTCCTGGCCGGAACTCCTGCACTGGGCGGAAGAAAGTTCTAGGCTAGTCCCAGTTCCAGCCGCCCTGCGGCTCTGCTCCACGTTTCCCTGGCTTTTCAGACAAAGCCGCCCTGTGCGCCCCGAGAGTCCTAGCCCGAGGGGGTGAAGTTCCTTCCTCCAACCTGAGGAAGAAAAAGCCTGGAACCGATCATTTGGAAGAAAGGCGATGTTGGAAAGTTTTATCTGCTCCTTTATCCGCCAGAGCTAAAAAACAGGTTTCTTTCCAATAAACTGAACTCGGAAGCTGTCCCTGGCCTGCAGAGCCAGGCTATGGTCCAGATGAGGATGTATGGGGACCTTTAGACTGAAATTTCTGAGGCCAAAGATAGCTCAGATGTTAACCAGTTGTCACAGTAGTGATGAAGCAGCCAAAAAGCTGAATTCATTATTCATGGCCGTGACCGCAGACCCCACCCTAACATTTGCAAGACCAAGGCTCACCTACCCTATCTTTAAATTTTATAGACACTATACAAGCCAACAAAATGAGTTTTAGTCTCCCTTGAGAAACAGACTTCCTTAACAACCAGAAGGGCAACTTGGTATAACAGAAATCTCGTGTACTTTGGAGTTCTACCCTGTAACATATAAGTCAGAGAACATGTTATCAAACACAGCTCTTGGCCTGTGCATCCCTTGCTGACTTTGCTTCCTGTGCCAGCTCCACTCAACAACAGGAGTGCATAGCATGTGTATGGATGCCTGGACCCATTCAGTCTGTTCCTTCGGACAGAAGTGAACATTCCAGCTGTTTGGTCTACATTGAGAGAATTGAAGGAAGAGGATCTAAAGTCGCCCCCCCCCCAATAATATTTCCAACATCATGTCCCAGAAATATTTATTTGGCTTTCTCAATACTAAATATCCTAAGTGTATTTGCCAGACACTTAGATAAGCGTGAAGAGTGCACCAGTTGACTCTTCTTGAAGACTGAACTATCTAATATCTAAGCCCAATAGTGTCTAGAGTCTATTAAAACACTCAATAGTGATAGAATTATTCTGGATCTGTGATGGAGGTGGGTCTTGTATTTATCTGTTGCTTTCATTGGTTAATTAATAAAGAAAACTGCTTGGCCCTGATAGGACAGAAAATTAGGTAGGCGGAGTAGACAGAACAGAATGCTGGGAGAAAGAAGCCGAGTCAGTGAGTCGCCATGATTCTCCCACACAAAACAAATGCAGGTTAAGATCTTCCCTGGTAAGCCACCTCATGGGCTACACAGATTATTAGAAATGGGTTAGATCAATATGTAAGAGCTAGCCAATAAGAGTCTGGGACTAATGGCCCAAGCAGTGTTTAAAAGAATACAGTTTCTGTGTAATTATTTCGGGTATAAAGCTAGCCGTGCGGGCGGCCGGGTGCCAGGAACGTTGCCCGCCGCTCTTATTACAACAGATCTGTGATGTGGGAGTCCCTCTGTGTATTGCTTGTATTGGTTAATGAATAAAGAAACTTCCTTGGCCTGATAGGACAGAATTTAGGTAGGCGGAGAAGACAGAACTGACTTCTGGAAAGAAGAAAGCAGAGTCAGAGGGACACCATGGATCTGCGGCCCGAGGTAGGTAGACATGCTAAAACTTTTCTGGTAGGACACAACCTCGTGGTGATACACAAATTAATAGAAACGGGTTAAATCAAAATGTGAGTGTTAGCCAGTAAGAGGCTAGAGCTAATGTGACAAGCAGTGATTTAATTAATACAATTTCTGTGTGGTTATTTCAGGGCTAAGCTAGCTGGGAGGTTGGGACAAACAAGCCGTCTCCTTACAACAGATCTGGAACTTGAAGTATGCCAAGGGAAAGAGAGCTCCAGACCTGGTAGTAGCCATGTGTGGCTACATAGACCTTGAACTTTATCTACCATTCTGTAGGAAATGTTTTTTTTTTTTTATTTCATTCTTACTAAACTCAACTTTAAACTCTACACACGTGTTGAACAGCACAGATCTGCACATACAATGGGTAGGAAAAATAGACTATTACAGCCATAGTTAAGTAGCTTTAATGGTATAACTGACTTTAGACACAAACTGATATTCTCTATTAAAATGAGGTTGGTCATGTTTCTGTAGAACTTATTTGAAGATGATGATTCCCTAACAAAAGTGACGTCAACCATGTCATCATCACCTGTTCTCCCCATAAAGATAAAATCTTCCCATAATAATTTGGAAGCTTTTAATTGCCATGTTGCTGTTGATACAGCTATAGACAGGCCTGTGAACCTAGACTGTAAGATTTTGATACCTATCACAGAGGTGAATGTGTTTGACTCTTCTGAGATGTACTTAGCATAAACCTTCAGTTTGGTGTCTTCTTTGTACGTCACTACAGTTGAAAACATTAAAGTATGAAATCACCAGAAAAAGGGTTGTCACACATGAGACCATTGACTCCAAAGACAAACATGGAGGAAATGTTTTTTTTTTAATATGGATATGATATATTCTTTCAAGGAAGTTGTTCAGAGCATCTTTTAAAAATAGCTCATTTACTCGTTCTATCAAGGTATCTCTTTCATTACTCTCCTCCCCTATATCTCCCCCAGACTTTATTGACTCCCCAAGGGACGACTTACTCCATCTGAGGAATGGATGAGGGACAGGAAACACGAGGCAGGAGAAGGGGAGGGAGGTGGAACTGGGGTTGGTATGTAAATAATAACTCATCTAGCTGAGCAGTACTGGGGCATGCCTGTAATCCCAACATGCTGGAGGCAGAGGCAGGCAAATCTCTGTGAGTTTGAGGCCAGCGTGGTCTACAGTGTGAGTTCCAGGACACTCAAACAGAGGAACCCTGTCTCAAAATAACAAACAAACAAAACCTCATTTAAAAAATCAGAAACTAGAACAGGCTTTAGAAATTCCCAAAACCGCCTAGCAGTGGTGGAGCATTCTGGAGGCTAAGGCAGGAGGATCTCTGAGTTTGAAGCTAGCCTGGTCTATAGAGTTCCAGGGCAGCCAGGGATACACAGATAAACCCTGTCTCAGGAGGGAGGCTGGATAAGAAAAGAACAAAAAAAGGAGAGAGAGAGAGAGAGAGAGAAGAGAAGAGAAGAGAAGAGAAGAGAAGAGAAGAGAAGAGAAGAGAAGAGAAGAGAAGAGAAGAGAAGAGAGAAGTTAACAACACTAGACCTTGGAATGTGTAGAGCCTCTTGTTCTTTAGAAGCCCCAAGGACCTGGGGTAAGTTCTTCATAACTGTAGAGGTCTCAGAGGGTAACACGGTGTGAGCTTTCTACAGTCTCTTGCCCCTCAGTCACACCAAAACCTAAACTTGAATTAAGCTACTGTCACCCTGAGAGCTTCTTGCCAGACAGGTCCAGTGACAGCTAATCCCGCCTTGGGCCTCAAGCACTGGCAACATTTGAAAATTGTAGGGTTTCATGGGCTCTTTCTGAGTTCTCACTGCGTCTGTGACTGTCCCGTTGTAGCAAGGCCTACGGAAACTGAGATATTGCTTGGTAACCATAGAAATACACACACTGGCCAGTATCACATCGACTGTTGCTTCAAGGATGGTATGTGGGCCACATTCCAACACTTCAGTTTAGAGGAACTTGTTTTGTAAGGCTTGTGAGAGATATTAAAGATTCCTTGTTCTTGATTAAAAAAAATAAACCTACTCACTGTGTATGTCTGCATGGATATGTGTAATGAAAACATTTATTATCTGTGTTCACAGATAATATGTCTACCTAAATCTATTACTAACAATTTCTTCTACATATCTGCCCTCTCTACCAGATGACAAGCTTCTAGAAGTCTTTCTTACTCCAGTTTTCAAATCCCCCTCTCCCATTTCTCTTCCCGCAATTATGTGCCTCTAGAAGCTGGATTGTTCAGATCCAGTCTAGGAGATTCTGTTGATTTAGGTCAACTTGGAACCGTGGTTTCCTTTTGTATTCATTTTGCCTGTGTGCATGTTAGCGCTCCCTGCTACAGTTTCAGCCCCAAGATGCTCCCTATTTACTGTCTATGGATTTCACCCGAGGTTGCTGCCAAAAAGCCGATGTCAAGCTTTTCAGGCAAATCACTTATCCAGCCATCCTGGCTAAAACGGGTAGCATGTGACCTATCAAAAGGAATCAGCGATTATGCTGTTCAATATAGTATATAAATTTAAGTTTGCAAAATTTAAGCTAAAAGTTTGACAAGGTTTTAACCAAAAATTCTATTTCCTAGTCCCTCAGGCCAGTATTTCGTAGCCACTTATCAGTGATGAGTACCACTGTGGAGAGTGCAGACCTTATAGTAGTTCCAGAAACTTCTTTGTGTCTTTATTTAAAAAGAGGCTAGAGGCTAGAGAGATGGCTCATGGGTTAAGAACAGTAGCTGCTATTCCAGAGGACTGTGGCCTGACTCCCGGCACACACACATGGAGGCTCACAACTGTATGGAATTCCAATCACAGGAGCTCTATCGCCCCCTTCTGGTTACTATAGGCACTGCATGCAGGCAAAATAACCATACATATAATGGATAAATGAATAAATACGCTTAAAAATAAAAATACAGAATATTAGAAGGCTAATAAGAAGTCTCAAAAATGTCAGCTGTATGCATTTGTTAAGTGGTGGGGGAAAGAAGGAGAGAAAAGGAAGCTAATAACTCATCTTTCTCCCACAACCCACAACTTCCATTTTCCCGCTTGTTGACATGGTCTTATGAGAACATGCTACCTCAACATGAAACATGTGTTTTATGACCAGAAAACAAAAAAAAAAAACTCAAAGAAAACTTCAAAATCATAGAAGAATGTTGAAGGACAGAAGGCATTCAGCTCACTGAGACCGTGGTTGAACTGTCAATCACGCCTCTGGACTTCTTTCTCTCAATGGTGAGTATCCTCGAGTTTACATCAACACTGTTAGTACTTCCTACTGCCTAGGGCGTTTTAGCACACAGAAGGAACTCAGAAGCATTTGTTAATTCACATCATTTAAATTTTACTCATTTTTATGTTTCACGCATTATTGCTCAACCACATTGGCTAGAGCATAAGTTTTATTGAGTTAAGCATTTTGCATGGCCGGGCATAAATTCCCAGGTCATGTCAGCTAACATGAGATGATCGAAGTTCATGCTCCTAGGGTCAGATGGAAATGTGTAATGTCATGGTCAAATTTACAGCAGGAAGGAACAGCAGTGGTCAGCACTTGAAGCGTCTCTCTAACACCCTTAGTCAGCCTCGCTAATAAACAGACATTCTCAGTTTCTTTTTGTGTCCTTGAATGTTTGTCTGTTAATTGTGACAGCTGTGGTTTTTTATTTTTAGCATTTTCATAACACGCTAGAATGTGTGCTTGGTCATTAGCCGGGACCCAGCTGGATCAGTAGCACTATCTCAGAGATCCTGCTGCCTTTGGCCCCTGCTCTGGCTCACCTGTTGGGAGACACAGTGACCTTCAGCAGGTCACTATTACTTACCTTTAGGAATGAGTTCTTAAACGGGCACAGCGTTTAAAATCTGATTTTTGTCCTGATGAGCCATGAATTCATTGTTTGTGTGCCGCAGCCAGACTCATTGGAATGTATCTTTGTGACAGCAAAATACTCTCTTTGGGTGACCAAATATTTTTCTGAAATGATATTTTCCTTCCCCACTGCAGTGTAGTTATTATCAGTTATAAATACAAAAGGGAAATATGAGGGAAAATTTAAGCAGCTCTACCATATGAGGAATTACTTTGATACAACAGCAGTTACCAAGAGTTTTTATGGCCAGATAGGCTAGCACCACTCATGGGCCCAAAAGGCTCATTATATACTCATATCTCATGGTTGTTTCATATTTGAAAACACAAGACATTGTGATGAGATTTTTCAGCAGTGTCTTAGGGTGGTGAAAACATAGCATGACCACTTCAATTCTTATGAAGAAAAAATTAAATTGGGGCTGGGAAACAAAGCTGAGGATAGGCAGACATGGTGCTGGAGAAGGAGCTGAGAATTCTATGTCTAGATGCACAGGCACCAGGAAGAGAACTGAGATGCACTTCCTCAAACAACTCAACACCTACTCCAACAAGGCCACACTTCCTAAAGTGCCACTCCCTGATTCTATGGGGCCCATTTCTATTCAAACCACCACAAGCAGTTAAGAGCACTTCCAAAAGATGGGAGTTCAGTTTCTAGCACCGACATCAAGGAACAAAGATCCTCTCAAACTCTCATCCAGAGACTGTGCCACCCTCTTCTGGATTCTTCAAGCATCTGCATGCACATATGGTGTAGAACAATGTTTTTGTACACTGTAAACATTGGTTAATAGAGACCTGACTGGTCAATGACTAGGCAGAATTTTCAGGGCAGGCAGAACGCTGGGAAGAAGAAGGGCAGAATCTCTAGAGTCATGAGGAGATGCAGAAGAAGAAGATGTAAGCATGCAGTACTAAGATAAGGTACCAAGCCATGTGGTAGAACATAGATAAAAATGTGGGTTAATTTAAGTTGTAAAAATTAGTTAGTAACAAGGCTAAGCTATCAGCTGAACATTTATAATTAATATTAAGTCTCTGGTTATTTGGGAGCTGTTGGCAGAACAGAGCTGACCCGTGATCCCAACGAAAACCTCGGCCTACACACATGTGTATGCCGATATACACATTTCTTACATGCACATGCAAAGATAAAAAACCAAAGAATTGGAAAAAAATAAAGGGGCACAAGTTGAAAAAGAATCACTATATCTCAATATTAAGTTACGATATCATAGACACTGTCTGGATTAACTCATGTGTTTGGACCTCTGTCTGTGAACTCTGACACATCAATGTCCCCCACTGCTGAGTGTGACTTTAAGGCTCAGGTCGAGATCAAAGAGCAAAGTGAGCTGACAGATACAAGATACTAAGGACCACTTGCTCTTCTGGACAGATGGGGGCATGTAACGTCATGTTACATGTAACGTCAGACCTACACGCAAACCATGGTGTTTAGCATCTATCAGCAGACAAATAGCTATTAATGGAAGGCTCAGTAGCAGATTTAGCAAATATGGAAGTCCACCTAAATCTTTCTTTTCAATAATAGCTTCCCCAGGATCAGTTTACATGATGAAAATCCTTTTGTTGAGTCAAGCAGAATGAGAAGGTGTGTTTGAAAATATCCCTATGTCAACAAAGTAATTACTACTTTGATTTGGCCTCCGATCCAGAATATTAACCGCTACGCATCCTGTTTTTTGGAGCACACACCACAATTAGTTATTAGATTTTATTTTTGGTTTAGCTATTGAACTGGAGATCTGACCCAGTTTTTGTCAATGGACTATACCAGAATATTAACCACTACGCATCCTGTTTTTTGGAGCACACACCACAATTAGTTATTAGATTTAATTTTTGGTTTAGCTGTTGAACTGGAGATCAGACCTAGTTTTTGTCAATGGACTATACCCATATCCTATTTTTTCCATGTTCTTTTATCACTTAGAGACCTCAAACATTATTATATCACAGAAAGTTTGTGGAAAGTCTCTTCCAAACATTATACTTTAGATTCATTATATCAAATACAACACAAAGCATCTTTAATGAGTCTTGATGTTATTTCACTTGCCTATAAGTTAATAAATTTAAATGCATTTTTATTTATATATGTGTGTTTTATGTAAATCCAGAACTGTTAAAATATACAGGAAATACAAAAGTACACAGAACACTGATTTTGAATTTGCGAATCAGATTACTCTATTAACTGCATCCTTAGCTGGGTTGCCATGGGAAATTGTGTACTTTGGTAACAAGTTTCTTCTTATGTTGTGAGGACTAGTTTAAATTTAAGTTAATCTAACATTGAAAGCACACAGCACATGGCTTGCCCACAGTGGATGGCTCGAAATGCAAGTAGACCTGGAATCTGGCCCTTTCCTCATTCCAGATAAAGAAAGCTGAAGCCTACAGAAATTAAATGAAAGTGTCTAAAGTTCTTGTTTCTTGAAAAGCCTGAAGCAGATATCTGGGGAAGCTTTGCAGCTGTGATTTTTCTCCCTTTAAACCTATAATCAGGCTTTCCTTTACACTTGATCAAACCCTGACTTACAAAGATCACTGAATCAAGATCTGCAGCACAGAAGGATACTGATAACCCCTGCCTTCTGGTCACAATAGAAAGGCAAAGTAATGCCGGGATGAAATCACTGGGAAAAGCTTCTGTGTAATGATAGCATGTCATCACTGCAAATTATGAAAATATTTTATCTTTCATAACACTATAATTACGCATATCAGCTCCTTTCATCACTCACTCTCTTACCTCCTATGGAATAATTACCCCGCATAGTATTAAGACTAGCCCTGAGCTAGCAAAGCAAAACAGAGAACTGAGGGACTCGAAAGGAAGACTTCACAGAAAGCAAGCCCGTGTTCTCCACGTTTACAGTTCTATCTGTGCAGCTATTGCCCCGATTGCCCTCATTATTTTAGTTAAAATACCCATCACTACACAGATTAATAAACATACACGCTAAGTTTGGTTCCATGTAACTGAGATGCTTTGAACTTACAGTGCATGAGGGGGAAAAACTATGTCACTTATTAATTTATTATTGGACTAGATGGTGGTAGGTGATTTTATTCATTATTTTTCTGTTGCTGGGCTAAAATGCCCTGACAAAAACAACTTAAGGAAATAGAGTTTATACTGATTCACAATTCCAGAGGGATAAAGTCATTCATAGTAGAAAAGGCCTGGTGATGGTCAGGGAACGCATGGTGACAATAGTAGGAGCTGCCTGATCGATCACATCTTCATTCACACTGAAGAAGCAGAAAGAGAGACTAGGAAGTGAGGGAAGGTTATAAACTCACAAAGCCCACCTCTGAGATTCCATAACCTCACCAAACAGCCCTACCAACTGGACACCAAGTGTTCAAACTCGTGAGCTTCTGGGGAACATTTCTCATTCAAACCACAACAGAAGTCCATAAGAAATTGTTGAATCATGAATAGGCTAATGAATAAACAAGAGAATGGATACTATTTCTCTACTCATTAACATGTCATTTCACGACTACCAAATGTCCACAATTAAATATGTCCCTGATAGCTTACGCAAAACTTTTGTTTAATGAATTGGACTCTCAGCCCTGTTGAGTGTGCCTTGGAACTTGTCACTCTTCTGAAAATGCTTCGACTGTCTGATGTTTCTGCTGCTAAATAAAATGATAAAACTCACAATCGTCTGACTCCATAGCCAGCCCCAATCAGGAAAATTACTCATGTATTTGAAAGCTGTTTGGCAGTAAAAGCCCTGTATATTAAATTCTAAATCCACTTAATTAACTCCTCTAATCTTCATTAAATAAAGCTCAGTCCACTTTGATGGAAATATGTAATAAAACCACCCTAGCTGGCAACTCATCCGGTAATGTGTTAAGTCTTGAGCAGATTCTGCCTAGGGCTCTCTGTCCAGCACTCTGACTCAGATCTGTACCTTAGCCTGGTTCCTTAGTCAGCTAAGAAGAGCTGCCTTTATCTTCGTTTTCTTTGTGTATTCAAGCCCTCCATTCTGAGTTGTAACAGAACCCTAAAAGGAAGAGAAGTCAGAGTCCTCACTGTAGCAAGTCCAAATACTATCAAAACTCTTCCAATATCAACTGAAGCAATGTCAATAAAAGCAACACAAACATAGCTTGCAACTAGTTCAAACTCGAAAAGAAAGATATTGGTCCATGGCAATAGCTTCAGGCATAGCTGAATCCAGAAGAGTTTGAACAATGCTCCCTTCTCTTTCTTGGTTCAGTGTTACCTTTGTTCTCAAGGAAGAGTTAATCACCTGTAAAGGGGCAGCCGTTTCCCCCCGCACAGTGTCCTCACATTCTAAAATCCCCTCCAAGGTAAAAATAAAAACAACGCAGAAATGCACACTCTAGCTAGATGATAAGGGTCACAGCTGATCTGTTTTGAGACGCGCATGCCTGAAAAGGGAAAGTATAGACTGGGTTGAATGTACACTTGCTGCAAGAGGGGCAGGCCGCAGGGAGAAAGGGTTCTTCAAAGAGATACGTGATGGTAAAAGAAAACAAAGCAAAGGTGTCTGCCATCCTGCTCTCGTTCCTATTAGCTAGCATGGGCATGGACAAAACAACAGGAAGAAGAAAAAAAATGCCAAAGTGGTCAAATCTGGAAAACAAAGATATAGGTGAGCTTTAATTTGTGTTTTAAAAAACAATTATTTTTTGACATGGACATAGACTATGAATATTATTTTAAGTGTGACACTTAATTTTACTTATTTTTAGGACTAATGGTTTTTGTGTGTGTGTGTGTGTGTGTGTGTGTGTCCAGAGTCTACCATAAGCAAATCATTCTTTCAAAGAGTGCTTAGAGGGCGGGAGTATAGCTCAGGGGAGAGTATTTGCCTCGCGTGTGCAAAGCCCGCAGTTCAGTCCTCAGCTGAGAGTTGAGAACAAATTAAATGAAGGAAACCCTTGGATGCTGCTTTGTGATGTGCTGTCAGTCAGGGAGAGGAAAGCAGTACTGACTTCGCGGCTGCCGTGAGAGTTTTAAATTCTTCAGCCGTGGATAATGATCATTTACAAGTCACCAGTTATAATTGCTCATGTCTTTCCTACTAATTCCTCTCCTCCAAAGCAGAGACCAAAGCTTCTAACTATAAAAATATGAGTTTCACATATTAAAAAGCATGTCTACATATGCATATATGTATGATTTTTGTGTATATATGTATTCTACCACAGTAAGACACAACCTGATAATTTAATCTGTTGAAACTTTAAAATCAGCCAAAGGAAATCAAAGAATAAATTGATTTTTTTAGAAATACAATGTATACAAAAGTTATTTTTTAATATATAAAAAAATACACTACAAGCTAAAAGATGATTTGGGAACTAAGAACCCTGGCTGCTCTCTCAGAAGACCCAGGTTCAACCCACCGCACCCACACTGTAACTCACAAGTGTCTTTAATTCCAGTCCTGGGAGATCTGATGCCCTCTTCTAGCCTCTAAACATACATGATACACAGATGGTGCACAGATACACATGCAGGCAAAACACCCATGTACAGTAAGAAAAAACAAAACGAGTTTTTTAGTAAGAAATTGGTCAATTATTTCTGAACAACTTGAAACATTGCTATCAAGCTCAGAGAATAAGAAAAACCATTGTTATAATATGAAAAATCCTTAGCCTCACCAAATAATTAAATAAACATAAGCAATCATCCCAACCCATCATCAAAAACTTAGACAAGACAACAATGTTTACACAAAAAACAGGAAAAAAGTGGACTAGACAAAACCTAGTAGTCTTCAGTAATAGGGAAATAGACATCTTCCTGCATGGCTAGAGGCCACACAACAAACTGAGACTACTTCTTCAGGATAACTTGGTACTCACGTCCAAAAAGATACAGAAAATACTTCTTTGTTTTTGTTTTTTTTTGTTTTATATTGATTTTTGAGACAGGGTTTCTTTGTAACCGCTCCTGTCCTGGAACTCACTTTGTAAACCAGGCTGGCCTCAGACTCGCAGACAGAGATCCATCCACCTGCCTCTGGCTCCAGAGTACTGGGATTAAAGGTATGTGCCACCACTGCCTGACTCAGAAAATAGCTTTGATACAGAAATGCTATTACTAGAAAATTTTCCTTCAGAACATACCTTCATATGAAGACACTGGACACACAGAATATTGATTCTTACTTTGTTTTTTTTTTTTGTGATAAAATCTTGACAGAGCATCCATTATCATTGTCTTAGTGACTTGTCTATTGCTGTGAGGAGAAACTCTGAGCAAGGCACTAATAAAAGAATTGAACTGGGGGCTTGCTTACAGTTTTGGAGGAGGAATAGTGTCCAATGAGCATCATAGTGGAAGTATGGTAGCAGGCAGACAAGCATGGTGCTGGAGCAGTAGCTGAGAGCTCACATGTTGAAACAATTACAAAGCAGAGAGACAGAGAGCTAACTGGAAATAGGGTGAGTTCTTGAACCCGCAAAGCCCTACCCCCAGTGCCACAGGCCACATCTCCAAATCCTTCCCACAGTTCACCAACTGTAGAATATGTATTCAATCATATGATCCTATGACAGCCATTTTCATTGAGAAAAACAAACTATTAATAATTAAAAACAGAAAATGAGTTTAATAAGTTATACATAGAAAGCAATGGAGATCTAAGGAAAGAGAATGTGAAGAGCTATAAATGAACACCTTTGCATCTCTATGTGTTTGTACTGTGTGTGCATGGACTATCCCTGAAGGATGTAAAAGACAATATTGAGCTTGGCATTGGTGGCCCGCACCTTTAGTCCCAGTCCCAGAGGAAGATGGATCTCTGAATTCGATTCCAGCCTGGTCTACTAAGCTAGTTTCAGGACATACAGGGCTGTTAGATAAGAAGATAAAGGGGAAAAAAGGATTGTTAACAAATTCTTCATGTCTGGGAAAAGGGTCAAAGACCTGGGAATGAGTTACATCTTGCATTATGTTTTGTACACTTGTATTAAATTATTTGAGTCTTAAAAAAATCTATGTGTTTACTTTTTAAAGAAAGATTGATTTTACTTTTTAATCAAAAGACATATTGATTTTTAAATAACAAAACACAAACAATTGTGAGTACATTTTTCAACTTTCTGGCATCAATAGACAGCAAATGATCCAGAGTATGTTCTGTTTCAGGGGTCCTTTGAAGAAGGAATTCTCTTCATTGTGAGGATTTATAAATATAAGCAATAAAGGTACCCAAGTGGTGTGGGAAGTCCTTCTGCATATGTGTTGCTTATTTTTGGTTAATGAATAAAGAAGCTGTTTTGGTCAGTGGCTTAACAGAATAGTGCTAGGCAGGGGAAAACTAAACTGAATACTGGGAGAAAGAACATAGAATCAGTAAGATGCCATGCAGCCACCAGAGGAGACAGATGCAAGGCCACAAGCCTCATGGAAAATATAAAATAATGGAAATTGGTTAACCAAAGGCATAAGAGCTAGCTAACAATACGCTTACATGATTGGCCAAGCAGCGATTTAATTAATACAGTGTTCTGTGTGGCTATTTCAGGGCTGAGCAGACGGATACAAACAAGCTGCTTCCTACAACAGATTGGCGCAACAACAAGGTCGACTATATCCACATAAAACCTGAGAAAACTTGGAAAGCAATTCGATACTCTAAAAAACAAAGTTTAGCCGCAGTTTTCTTTCAGATGCGCTTTGCTTGCTGGCAACATGCTGCAGCTCCTTTAAGAGAGGTTAAAAAAAATCCCACATGGTTTCAAAACAGCAGCACAAACTGCTCTGGCTCTTTCAGGAGGCCAAGCACTTGAATGGCATTTGTGGGCCTGGGTGCTTGTTTGCCCATTTGGGGTCGGGAGGAAAGTAGCTAAGACCATGCCCATGGCTCTCAGTGCTCCCCACCTAGGCAGGCAGTGGAATCAAGTCTAGTAGGCATGCACAAATGGGAGAGCATGGTGGGTTCCTACCACCATACCCAGAGATATTTACAGGCTGCACAGTGTGCTGCATGGCATATTTAGCTATTACTCAGATAAAAAAGGTTTATGTGCTGCACACTCCTTCTTAGAGTTAAAGTGGTGAGCGGGCCTGCTGTCTGGAGGTCCCAGAGCTGGCAGTAATGGTACCTCTGCCATTTTGAAAAGTGGAGAGAGGTGGAGTCAGTACCCAGGGCCACTGAGAACAAGCTGCTTACCATTATAAAAGCCCTCTAGGACAGAAAAAAATTACAGATACACAAGAGGACAGATTCAGACATTAAAGACCTCTAAATGAGACACAGTGTGTTTAAAAATTGTATGTAGGCTTAGGAGAAAGAAAAAAAAGAGTAAAGAGACAGTAAAAGTAATATAAAAAGTACAGATAGTCATAAATTAAAGGAATAAAGATAATAAATATTAAACTTGTAGAAAAAGTAATAGAGTAAGAAAAATAAGCTACATAAAGATGAAATATACACAGAGTATCTAGATTATATATATTACTGTGTTTTCTTTGAATTTTTCGACTGTGAAGGAGCTAAGTACATTGAGACATTTCATTTTACAGGCTGCTAAACTAAACCAACATATGTGTTTTAAAGGTTTCTTGATTTCAAAATTTGAGTCTAAGGATATGTTGCTTTGGAAAAGAGGTTCTACTTTTGTTTCTACAGAAGATGAGAACCTGTGGATTAATTCCAGACTGATGTGATTTGGTGCACCAAGACCTCCTGAAAGATCTCCAGAAACCCCAAAACTTCTTTGCCTAACAAAAAACAGGAAGCAGTTTGGAGAAAACTATGCCCAAATTCCTTAAATGATTATTTATAAATGTCTGTTTACATTTAAAGGAGGATATACTATAGATATGCTATAGAGATTTGTACTGGTATGGATCTTGGTTTATTGATACAAATTTAAGGTCAATTTTGTTATATGCATATTTATGCTCTGATTAAGATATTGTGTTTTTGCAGCTCATTTAGAAATATAATGTATAATTAATAAATATAGGTTGATATATAATCATCTATAATAGTCAAGCTTGTAGTCATGTTAGGTTTTCTAGATATATACAGATATAGTTCAGTAGATAGGTATTCTTCCAATCTTTCAGAGACCTTCAGAATATGGCATTTAAATGTTTTAATAACTTAGGACTTTTCTTGACAGTGAGACATATTTGTTCTTGGCAGCACCAATAGCTTCAAGAGGAAGATGGGCACCAAAGAGGTTCCTCATGGAGTTTGCTAGCCATTTGGGAAAAAAAAAATCCTGCTCTTGCCTGGACTGCTTGATGTTATATTGTAAGAAGTGAACATTCAGGACCCACAGAAAAATGACTGCTGAACTTGCCTAAAGGTGAGATGATCCTTCAGGGTTCATCAAAGAGTCTGTTAGACATTCTTTAGGACACAGAAGTGACTGATAATATAGGCATAACTGTCTTTGAAATTTCCTGCTTTGTGGAAAAGTATGCTAGATACTTTGGGCCTGTAGGCTGAAGATGGATTCCCCAATAGTACAGAAGAACTTTGGACGGCTGTCCAGATAGTGAGATGTCTCTGTCAACTCTAGAGTTTTGGAAGTTGCTTACAATGCACTTTCTGTTTACTTAGGTAATATTATATCCTTCTGGAGTCTTTGATGTAACTGAAGAATAGATAGTTATAGTTTTCCTTAGTTATGATAAAAGATAAAGTAGATATAAATATTGTAATTGTAACTCTTGCTTGATACCTGTTTTGTTATATGTAATTTTACTATGATAAATTAAAACCTTCCTTTTATTTAAACAGAAAAGGGGAAATGGTGTGGGAAGTCCTTCTGTATATCTGTTGATTTATTGGTTAATGCTTAAAGAAGTTGTTTTGGCCAGTGGCTTCGCAGAATAGAGCTAGGTAGAGAAAACTAAACTGAATGCTGGGAGAAAGAAGGCAGAGTCAGTGAGATGCCATGGAGCCACCAGAGGAGAAAGATACAAGACACAAGGCAGAACTTTGCTAGTAAGCCACAAGCCTCATGGTCAAATATAAAATAGTAGAAATGAATTAAGAGATAAGAATGAGCTAGAAATATGTATAAGCTAATAGGCCAAGCAGTGTTGTAATCAATACAGTTTCTGTGTGATTATTTCAGGAGTCTGGGCAGCCAGGAATGAACAAGCAGCCTTTGACAACATCCATTACCTTATGGGACTCTGTTTTTTTTTTTTAATGGGTTTACTAAAACTACCTCTTGGATTTTTTTGGTCAATCAGATAACTAGATGGAGTTTACATGAGATCAGAAAGGATTCTCAGAAGTAAAGTTCCACTCTGAAGGCCAAGACCCCTCTGAGGCTCAGTTGTTTTATAGCTCTGAAGACCTCATTTGTCTTCGGGTCATTCTATTGGGAGTAAGAGTCATTTCAAATTAAGTCCAAGAAGAGGAAACAGCCTGTGGATCTCTAATATAACTGAAAATACACCAGAACATGGAAACATGAAAGAAGACCAGAATACTGAAACAAAACCTGAAAGAGCTATCCAGTGAGTTCTGTGATATGCACACATGTGAGACTAAGCAGGAACTTGGTTTGGTTATTTTGTTTATTTTTGTTATCATCATCATCATCATCATCATCATCATCATTATAAAGAATGTTCTGGACTGTCAGCTGGTGGTGGGGGCATATCTTTAATCCTAGCATCAGGAGGAAAAGACAGGCAAATCTCTGAGTTCAAGGCAAATCCGGTCTACAGAGTGAGTTTCAGGATAGCCAAGACTACCCAGGAGAACTCTGTCTTGAAAAATAAAAAAATAAAGGAATGTTTTGGAAAACAAAAGAGTGTAATGCACAAGGACCTGTACCTTTTTCCATTACACACACACACATGAACATCTGAATATATGAATACACACATACCCTACATATACACACATGTACACATACAGTACACATGTGTACACATATGCACGAATGAATACACATATACACTCAATACACAGATTACCACGTTTCTGCACATTACACATGCATGTGTGCACATATGAATATTCAAACAATACACAGATGCGCCATGTTTCCACACATACACATGTTTGTGTGCACATATGAATATACACATGCAGGCACATATACTACATACACACATGTAACATGTACATACACCACACACAGAGAGGCATACATATATCTTAATAACACTTGGAAAACGTTGAAGGCTGTAAGGCAGGAAAAGTTACATGGTATGTGCTTCTTTGGACTCAGGAATGAGATTATTGAGGGAAAGGGAGCTGTACAAGGGTGTATTTTTGGAGTGGTTAGGAACTTGTAGCTACAGATCAGAAATTTAGAAAATCTAAAGTAGGAAAGTGGGGATGAAGATGGAAAAAAGTGGATACAGCTGAATCCTGTAGTATTTCAGAAATCCACAGGCTCATTTTTGCGGTTGAGTGGAGGGAATGAGGGGGCAGGAAGGCATTTAGGGTCTTGATTTGCCTGAGTGATTGATGACAACATTCTCTTAGCAAAGACCCCTGGAGGAAGACCAGTTTTCATAGGAGGATTATGCCGGGACATGCTGAACCTCAAATTCATTTCCAAGCCAGTGGCTATACTTGCGAGGCAGCAGCGTGAAGAGTCTGAAGTTTCCAGTGCAAGCTGGAGAACTATTTGTTCTTTTAAATTGGAGTACAAAACTTTTATTTGAAGTCACAGGTGTAGATGAGGTTTCTAAGCAGAGAAATTAAAAGAGCAAGCAAAATCAAGTAGCTAGTTTCTACCCTGGTCTGGAAACTATTGAGGAGAAGGTGAAAACAAGAGAAAGATTTGGCAGCAAAGAAAGGTGGGAAAAAACGAAGAATGAAGCCCAAGTGTAGCATTCCACAGTTAATGATGAGACAGAGGCTGAGGCTTAATCCCTGTGGTCATCTGATTTTTCCTGGCTTTTGTCAGTTCGTGGTATCTCTTGGTGACAAATAAGATTCAAAAAGCAACAAACAAATAAACAAAAACAAAAAAAAACACCTTTGTTTACCAGAAATAAAAATAAATTTTAAATTAACCATTCTCAGATTGCCTTTAGGAGGAGCCAGACACCAGATAAAACCGCAGAGGGACTGTTGAGATCAGGTTGTGTTCTACTCTGGGTTACTCCAGTATTGTGTAAAAATAAAGCAGGATTTTCAGCTGTGCACTGCCCTAGGAGACCACATGTTACACGCAGCTTCTGGCTCCGTTTCAGAGAAAAGAATGACTATAGGCCCTAGGTGGGCCCAGAGACTTCACCATCTGCCTGGCACTACCTCTCCAGTACAGGCTGAAAAATGACTCATTCCTGGGAGAATAGGAGCCACCCGAAAAGTTTATTGAAGTGAGTTAAGACTTTGGGCACACATGGGCATATTATAATCACTTCAGGGAAAACAGTCCGAGAACTTATCAGACACACCAGGTAGAGCAAAAGGTGTGACTCCTTCATCTAGACGCCACAAAGTGATGAACACCTAAAACTTCAATAGCATGGCCTGATGCCAGCTTATCACCGGGTGCCCGCTGTGGGCCTCAAGGACTGAGAACTCCCAAACTCATTTTGGTCCTCTGCCATTAAAGCAGCCACCTGCTATTCTGGATCTGGAGCTGACTTGACCCCTATTTCCTGCTCCAGTCTTCACCTCCCTGTTGGGCTCTGTAACTTCAGTCTCAAACCATCCCCAGGTGCTCCATCATCAACTCCCTTGCTGCAAGGTTCATTATCTTATACACCCAGACTCTTTCTGCAGTCACTTCTGAAACCTCTTAAACACCACTGCAGCCTCCTCTTTAAATTGTATCCATTCTGCAATCCATATATATATATATATATATTCACCATGGGCTGTGAAATAGGTGATATGAATTAATCTTAGTAATTAAGATGGAAGTAAAGAACTTGCACTCTCCTCAGCAAGGCTACCAAGGCAGGTAGATTTTAAGTCAGATCATAGCTATTGAAAAGGCCAATACTCATGGATTTCTTGTTATTCAACAAATTCTAACATTGTAGAAAGACACAAATGAGTTCCTCTGTTTCTGGCATAGCATGCTCAGGTGAGGAACAAATAATGCTAATATCAAAACTATGTAACTACCCTCATCTATGCCACATCCAGCCACTCTCCTTCCTTCCCAAATTTTCTGCACACCACCTTGCACATGTTAGCATACACTTCTGCAGTTGGTGGCACCACCTTCGGCGAGCCTGCTGCTGAGTTACCTAATACCATGAGATTTCCACTGAGTCCCCTTCAGTTCCTTGCCATTCAATAGAGTTCTTGAAAGAAAAGGCTAAAAATTCATCTGATGGTGTGCTTCTCAAGATTCAAGACACAATGGAAGAATATCTTATCCATCAGTCTTTGAACTGGAGCCAACCTTTGTCCATCTGTGTCTCTTAAACATCTAGGCTGGACTTTTGGCAAATATTCTCTGAAGCAAAACCTTATTCTTAGGGCCGGGGGTGGAGGGTGGGGAGAAACAGGTAAAATGGATTAGGATTGACTTTCCAAGGGAGTTGCCTTTGTCTCATGGATTATACAGCAGGAATCAGCAAACATTCTGTACAAAGAATAGATGGGAAGTATGGGAGCCTTTGTTGCTGTATGGTCTCAGTTGCAACTACTATGGTAAAACCACTGGGAAAGAGTGTATGAATGAATCATTGAATCTCAGGTCCAGTTGTACTTGGTTTACAGACTCCAAAATTATACTTTCATATAATTCTGACATGAAATTATATTGATATTCTCATATTTAAATCCCGTTTATTATTACTACTACTTTTAGTAGTAGCAGCAGCAGCAACAGTACTGTAGGCATGCACTTGTCAGGGGGAGGGCACATATTAAAGCATGCATGAAGAAGTCAGGGAACGACTCTCAGGAGTCAGTTTTCTCCTTCCACTGTGAGATCCGGGGATGAAAACCAAGTCTTCAGGTTTGTAAGAAAAAAGGCTTTATTCAAATGAGCCATCTGGTCTACCCAGTGTTATTCTTATTTTGACTCCCTTCTTGCATGTCAACAGGCGAATGACAGCAGAGCTGTTGGGTTCGGTATAAATGGATAGATAGTAGGCTGACCATCAGAGCAGGGGTTCACTTGAGCTATCCCCATTTGCTGGACTACCCCCAATAACTAATTTGGGAAGTTAAATTCCAGTTGTTCAAAATGAAAAATTTTAAACTTTATGGGACAAAAATCCTGTTAAATACTGGAGTCCAGTCCCACCAATGTTCTAATTTAAGGCAATTCTAGTGGCGAGTACCATCCAGGGATGGCCATTTGCTTGAGGGTGATAAGACATAACGGTGACAGTTCAGATAAGGCTCCCAACTGCAAATTCTCACAACTCAGGCTGGAGCTGAATCAGAACTGTTGTCAGTAGAGATGCTGTCAGTCAATCTGGGTTGCAAAAACTAGCACGGAGCTGTGATTGTTGCCGCAGATGTCTGAAATGTAATTATAAGCACTTAGAACCACTTTGAGAGAGAATTGAACACATGAAGTTCTTCTTTTGGTATCAGCCTGCAAAATCAATATGAATTTTAGAATTGCACATTGAATGCTGAGGAGCCCTTAGCCTGAAATGACCTTGAACCAATATTATCTAGTCAGCCACATTCCTGTACAACTTTTTTTTTCTTTCTACGGTTGTTTCATTCTGTGGATTTGTCCCAGGCTGTTTGCCATGTATTTAAGTAAAGAGCTCTTGCAAATTCCTTTTGACTGATTTACACTCAAGATGGTCTGATGCTTGCCTTTCAGAAAATCAACATTATTTCCCCACAGAATGCATTCTTTATATAAAACCAATTTGTTCCTATGACCTGGGATCAATTCTTTCCCTATTTCATATTTTCATTATTTTCTTTTTTTTTTTTTTGAAATACGGGTTATAGAGGAATCTTCTATAAAGTAATTCCACTACATCATCAGCCAGAAGACAAATATTTAAAGTCCCCAAGATTTTGATAATAGTGCACTATACTAATCAGCTCAGGATAGCATAACAAAATACACAGACTAGATGGCTTACACAATAAAAATGTAGTTGTTTGCCATTTTGGAAGCTGACAAGTCCAAGATCAAGTACCAGTGCATTGGTATCTTCCTGTCTCTCAAACAGTTGGCTGCTGTTTTCTCAGTGGGTCTCTACATGGAAGAAAGAAAGGAAAAGGAAGGTAGCAGAAATGTAAAGTTGGGAAGAATGGGGGAAGGAGGGAGGAAGAAATAAAGGGAGGGCTAGAAAGAGAGAGAGGGAGGGAGAGAGAGAGATCTAGCTCTTCTTATGAGCACATTGAGCCCATTGAGTCAGAGCTCTATGCTTAGGGTGCCATTTAATCTTCTTTAAGGTCACATCTCCAGATGCATTCACAATTTGGAGTAAAGATTTCACCACATGAACTTTAGGAAAACTTAATTTTGTTCACAACCTGTAGTCTCAGACCTCAAACTAGTAGATTCCCGAAGCTCAAACAAACTCCCTGACTGACAAGGTGACATCCCAAGAGAACTCATTCTCATTCTCAGCAACCCCATGCTTTCTCTTGCTCAGCTTTTTAAAAAGACTTTAGTATGGAATATATGTGGTGTAATTAAGTTTAAAAACATGTACACTAAATCCCAGTGTCTCATAGACACCTGTATTTCCCCACTTATACAGGTTTGGATGAGATCAGCCACATAGAGCAAATCACAACCCTCCTGGGAATAGCAGAAAGGAAGGAAGCTGCCATCACGCTGAGAGCAGCTAAGCTTGGGAGTTGAATGTATGATTTTAAGGTAAATCAGAGTGAGTGTTTATCAGAGTTGGAGGAGCAGATATCAATAGCAGCACCAGGCATGGTAGCACATGACTGTGACCTTGCACACTGAATGCTGGAGTAGGAGGTGTCTTACTAATCTGGGGTTAGGCATAGACCCATAATGAGTAACAGGTCAGCCAGGGCTACATACAAGATACTGTCTTAGGTGGTGCAGTAGGGAGGGGTAGGCATTAGAAGCCCATTGGGGCCCAAGGAAGGGTTATTTTTTTTCTTTTTTGGGGGGTGGGATGGGGTGGAGTGGAAACAGGGTCTCTGTGTAGCATTCACCGTCCTGGTACTCACACTGTACACCAGGCTGACTTCAAATTTACAGAGATCCACCTACCTCTGTCTCCTGGGAGATTAAAGTGCTGGGATTAAAGGAATGTTTCACCACTGCCCAGTATTTATTTTCAAAAATGACCTTAAGGACTGGTGAAATGGCTTATTGAAAAAAGTTATTTGCCACCAAGCTTGACAACATGAGTTCAACACTCTGGAACCCACATAATGGAAAGAGAGAACCAACTCATACAAGTTGTCCCCTGACCTCCACACAAGTACCTTGGCAGGCTCATGCCACCTCCACAATGAATAAGTCTGAAAATATACATGCATGAAACATTAGGAAGACTAAGCAGGTAACATTTAGCACTACATAAGCATATATGCACATAGTAACAATTGATGAAAATGAAGCCGTGAGTTTAATAGAAAGCAAGGAGGGGTATATTGTAGGCTTTGAAGGGAAAAACCAGGAAAGAAAAAAATGCTGTGATTTTATTATAATCTCTAAAATAATTTTTTAAAAAAATTAATGCCAAGATAAAGAAAAGGGATCCCAAGCTAATAGGCAGACCCCTTAGGGTCAAAAAACTTCCTTAAGTGATAGATACATTGTTATCTCTCCCTCAACCAACACACCTTCCTCAATAACACACCTCCCTCAACTGACACACCTCCCCTTGCTCTTCCTGCATGAGAAATTCCGCTGGAGACATCTGAGGGAAAGCAACTGCTGGACACCTGAGGCTGTGGAGCTAATTGGAAACAGACTGAGTTTTATTCGCTCAAATGGCCTTCGGAGATATACAGATGGCTGCGCGTCCCCTCCTCATCCGTTGCCAAAACTCAGTCCACAGCATCTGTACAGTGCGCATTCTATACAATAGCAAAGGAAATTTAAAGGACTTCCCCACAACTATCAGTGAAGATACCTCAAGTCTCCATATGGAACCAATAAGCTCCATTTCTGTTCTCCCGAAAGATAATCCTGGCAGGCTTTGAGAGTGTAAAAACTCATGCCATTTCCTGTTGGCCCTCTCTGTTCTATGCTTGCAGTTTGAACATGGGAGATCTCTTCGTTTCCTGTTCCAGCCTCCACGCCTCCACTCTACCAACATGGATGTGTATCCCTCTTGAACCGTAAGTCCAAAGAAACTCTTCTCTAAGTTGTGTTTGATCATGGTGTTTTATCACAGAACTATAAACAGAGAAGTAATTAATAAAATTATTATGATGTTGAGTCTGTCCCTGCTTTCAGGTCTGCTAAGTCTAGAGTACAGACAGGTCTTAACTGCATGTACCTTGTTACGACAGTACTCTCCTCTGTTTAAGGTCAAATTAAATGTTATTGGTGAAAGATTATACTATCTACTGCTAGAATCAAATCGTCTCACAATGATTGTGAGATAGGGCTGGCTTAGAAGTAAGATATAGTTAGCCTCAATGTAAATAATTTTTATTTGGGAAAAATGGATGCATGCCTTTTTAGTATAAACTGTGATGTCTAATTTCATAAAAGCTTGAAAATTTTTGTAATAGAAAATAAATATCTGTGGATTTAATTTAGAAGATGCTCCTGATGTTCATAGTTGTTAGTTGTCACACTGGTTCATTCAAAAGTCAAATCTGGTATCATCGATACTGTTTAAAGAATTTTTAATTATTTGAAGTTAATTCAGAATCTCTAGGAAGAAAAGTATGTATATATAATATATGTGTGTATATGTATATATATGTACACACACATATAAGACAGAGAGAGAGAGAGAGAGAGAGAGAGAGAGAGAGAGAGAGAGAGAGAGAGAGAGAGAGAGGAGACGGGGGCAGGTCATTATGACCAAACTTCCAAGGAAAAAATTAAATAAAGAAATTAGATAGATACATTTGTATCCTGATTTTTTTTAAAAAAAAAATCTGTTAGCCCTGTGTAACCCTAAGCAACTTAGTCACTTAGCTACCTCATGTGTGAAATGGGGAATTAAGATAATGCTTCATGTGGTTGTTTCAAAGAGCATGTAGGCTACTGCCTGTGAGAAACTTAAATCTCTATGGCTGACGTATCAATGAACATTAGGACATTCATTAATTAGCCAATAATGTACATTTCACCATTTTCTTTATCAGAACACAGTAGGAGACTCTGACATTTAAGAAACTAAGACTCAACCCTAAATTGGCCATGAGAGAAACATAAGGACCAGACTGTGATAGAATCAGAATGCCAAGCTTTTTTGTTGATAAAACCAAGCTGGTTATTAAAACCAACTTGGGTGTCCTTCCCCTGTAATCAGATTGGTGAATACTCTATCATCATAGAATTTTCATCCAGTAACCATGGAAACAGATGCAGAGTTCCACAATCAAGCAAAAGGCCGAGCTCTGGAAATCCAGTTGAAGAGAGGGAGGAGAGAACATATGATCAAGAGAAGTCAAGGTCATGACGGAGAAATCTACAGAGACAGCTGAACCAAGCTCATAGGAACTCATGAACTCTAAACCAACAGCTGTGGAATCTCCACAGTACCAAACTCAGCCTTCTGTATGTGAGGGACAGTGGTGAAGCTTGGCCTATCTGCAGGGTCCCTGGTAGTAGGACCAGGATCTATCCCTGGCACATGAAATAGTTTGTTGAACCCCATTCCCTGTGGTGGGATGTTATGCTCAGCCTTAATATAGAGAGGAGGGGCTTGGTCCTGCCTGAACTTAATGTGCCAGACTTTGTTGACTCCCCATTGAAGCTCTTACCCATTGGGAAGAGTGGATGAGGTATAGGCTGGGGTGGGTACGTGAGATAGGATGGGAGGAAAGGTGGGAGGGAAAACTTTGGTTGGAATGTAAAATGAAATAAAAATAAATAAATAAATAAATAAATAAATAAAAATTAAAACGAAAAGAAACTAAGTTGGGTTTAATTTATCTCCAGAGGCCTGCTACAGTAGTTTAACCTACGCCATCACAGGCAGTGTGCTGGATAGTTTTAAGTCAACTTGACACACAGCAAAGTCATCTTGAGGAGGGAACCTCAAGAGAATACCTTCATAAGATCAGGCTGAAGGCAAGCCTATAGGGCATTTCTCTAATTAGTGATTGATGGAGAAGGGCTCAGTCCATTGGACTGGAGAAGGATGGGTAGTGCCATCCTTGGACTGGTGGTTATGGGTTCTATAAGAAAGCAGGCTGAGCAAGCCATGTGGAGAAAGCCAGTAAGCAGCACCCCTCTGTGCTCTGCATTAGTTTCTGCCTCCAGGGTCCTGCCCTGCTTGAACATATGTCCTGATGTTTTTTGATGATTGTTTTAGGGTTTCTATTACTCTGAAGAGACACTGTGACCATGGCAACTCTTATAAAGGAAAGTATTTAATTGAGCTGGCTTACAATTTCAGCAGTTTAGCCCATTATCATCATGGCGGCACTCATGGTGCTGGAGAGGCAGCTGAGAGTTCGATATCCGTATCCTCAGGCAACAAGAGGGAGAGTGAACAACTGGGCATGGTTTGAGCTTCTAAAACCTCAAAGCCCATCTCCAGTGACACATTTCCTCTTAAAAGGCTACACCTACTCCAACAAAGTTCACACCTTCCAATCATTTCAAATAATGCCATTTCCCATGAGCCTATGCTGTTCACTTTCATTCAAACTACCAGAGTGAAGAACTGTGATGTTGAGATATAAGACAAATAAACCCTTTCATCCCCAAGTTGTTTTTGGTCATGGAGTTTTATCACATAAATACTAAGACAGGCAATATTGGACAACCAAGTACCAACCCGCGGCAGTAGTCAAACCTGTCCTGATAAGTTGTCTGCTTTTCTGAAGTTGTCATAAGAACTATTGCAATAAGCAGGTTCTGAAAGAGTCAAGAAGAAGGTCTGAGCTGGACAGTCTCCCTTACTTCTATATCCACAAATAAGATTAATAGAAGAAATTAGAAGATGGGCCAATAATGAAGTCTTTCTCCAAGGAATACAGAGTTACAGACATGGAATATTTCCACTGACTCACACCACTAAGTCATGTATGTTATGGAAATGGTCCAAAGGGGCTTTGCTTTTTACCTTGATTTGTCCGTGAGATCTTTATAAGTGGGAGAGATAGTTAGCTATTAAGAGCTTTTTCTTCCCTTGTAGAGGACAGATTTCCTCCAGTTCTAGGAAATCTGATGTCCTCTTCTGGCCCCCAGACACCTTAATATACCACACACACACACATACACACACACAAAAACATAAAAAAAAAAAAAAAAATAAAAAAACACACACACACATGCACTCACACATAAAAAAAAGAAAACAAATCTCTCTTCAAAGTCATTTTTGGTTTGTTTGTTTTTCAAGACAGACTTTCTCTATTTAACATCCATGACTGTCTTGGAACTAGCTCTTGTAGACCAGGCTGGCCTCACAAAGATTCACCTCTCTTTTCTCTCGAGTATTGTGATTGAAAGCATCTGTCACCACTGCCTGGCTCTCTTCAAAATAATTTTGAGGCAATCACGAGCAAATACTAAAGAGAGAAGGAGAAGACAGGATAGGAAGGAGAGAAAAAGAGAGAGGAGATAGAATGTTTTCCACAATGTCAATCAGTCAGAAGATGGAAGAGCCCGAATTCCAATCTATGCTCACCTTCCTAACTCTGGTATTCAGAGGGCCTCATCTTCCAGATCTTCTTTTTTTGGATATAAAAAGCAAAAGGAGCAATTTTAAAGCAACAGCAATGTGCACACGTTCTGTTCTGCCCTTGGGTTATAGGCACTTTACTGATGCGTGTATTAATTATGTTATACGTTGCTGTGACAAATCCCTGACAAAGGCAGCTTAAGAAAGGAAGGGAATGTTCAGGATGAACATACATCTCTCATGGAGGGGAAGCCATACGTGCAGGAACATGAGAAACATTCGAGCCATACATGCCTGTCACGTGGCAGCCATATCAGAAAGAAGAGTGATGAATCCTAATGTTCGCTTCTGTTTTTTCATGTAGTCTAGGACCTTAGCTCAGGGATAGGTGCTACTTAGGGTGGGTCTTCCAACCTCAGTTAGTCTATTCAAGATGATCCCTCAGAGACTTGCCTAGAGATTTGTCTCCAGTGTGATTGTAGAGTCTGTCATGTTGACGGCCGGCATAAACCATCACAGGGCAGAACCATTGCTTCATTTCCTAGGTGTTTATAGTGTGTTTTCAGAATTCAGTCTTGGATGTTGCTTATGTCTATCCCTTTAAAACATTACATACTTCATACCATGTAAAAAGCAGTGGCATAAGGCTGCTTCAAGTTTCTGGCTTCTACACCATTCTTCATCCCAAATAACAGTGCTGAGATTCCATCTACAAAATCCCCCAGCTTCTGAGGATGTAATTTGCTTGATGTTGGAGACTTAAATTCACTTAAAGTCGTTCTAGCCTTTTTTATTATCTTTTCCACTATCTTGAGTCAGAATCCCTTTTTAAAAATTGGCCCCCTTTTAACTTGAAGGAAACGAAATAGAAATATTTTAGTGTGCTGTCACCTTTTAGCATTATACCACACAGGCACGTACACACACACACACACACACACACACACACAAAAAGAGAGAGAGAGAGAGAGAGAGAGAGATGCACACTTACCACACCTGTACACACAGAGATGCACAAATAGCACACAAACACCCATGTCCATACACAAAGAGAGGGAGAAAAATGAGAAAGAGTGCGTGTCACTTGGCTATGCATGGGCACAAACAGCAGTCTCTCCCTTGAAAAATGCCATTCTGTCCTCTTGCATGCTTTGAGATACCCTTACATATTTGTTTTTGCATTCCTGATGAATCTTCGTTACTAATGCATTTTTGCACTCAATTTCCGACCTAAATTCTAACCTAAAAACATCGCATCACTGAACTGATGCAGCAATGATTCCATATGGGGCAATATGACTCAACCTTTCTATCTGGTTTCAATTCATGGTACCCATACTGTAGGACAATTTCAAACAAATGATTAGGTTCCATAAAACAACGAGTAAAGTTTAATAACATCTTGGTAAAACGCTATCCCCTTAAACAGATATAGCTATATAGTCAGAACTTCTTTTAAAATACCAAGGTTGTCTTGCACCATTTGTTTTTGTGCTTTTAATTCTGTTGCTTTCCCAACTACTACAAATTGTCTTAATGCTAAATCTGCTGTTTTGCTAGAAACGCTACTTTTAGCAGAGAGGCGTTATCCAAATTTTGGTGCACTTTAGGGAATTCAGTTTGGATTGCCCTTCAAGAACAGAATTGATGCTACTGACCCACCATTAGTAGGGCACAAAATCTGAGTTATTTCCCCTGTGTGGGTGATGGATTGTGCCGCCCCAGCTCCTGGCACTCCATTGCCCATTACCCACTGTGACTAATCACATGCATTTGCAAGATGATTAGCCAAGGTTAGGGGTACAGTCTGTGATTATGGAAGAGATTTTTTTCTTTATGTGAAAAATTACTAGTTTATAATAGCACTGAATTATAATTTTGCTCTGTCTCCTAACCAATGGTGGGCTGCTAATGGTAATTCATGTTCCTGCGGTTGCTTGTGTGTTATCTTCTGCATAGTTTCTGAGTCAAACCCTGCCCCATCCTCATTTCCCCCAAGAAATGTTTACAGCTGTCACATGTACCGGTTCTACCGCCAAAGGACAGCAAACACATTCATATATTTGGTGTATATTTCCTTTGTGTTTATTGTATGCTGACTTTTGTGTTCTGATGCTGGGAATAACATCAGCATATCCAGAAGTCCTTTCTTCCCCGGAGTAATCATTTTGGTAGAGGATGGAAGGACGGATAGAAACATACAAGTGAAGGCATTGGTGAGATGTGGTAAGTGGGGAAAGAAAGTAGAAGGGAAGCTAGATAGGACAGTGAACAAATGATTGCTGCTTTCTATATGGTGGCCAGTGAAGGCCAGGCTGACAAGGAGACCTACGAGCAAAGGCTAAAGAGGGAAGAACAAACCGCATGTGTCTTAGTTACTTTTCTATTGCTATAATAAAACACCATGACTAAAGCAACACAGAGAAGAAACTCTTCTGGGCATGTGGTTCCAGAGCAATTAAGAGTCCACGATAGTGGGAAAAGGAACTGTGGCCTTCCCGAGGGCTCATATCTCAATCTCAGGACGGAAGAAAAGAGAGAGAACTAGAACTGGTGCAAATCATTTAAATCTCAAAGCTAACCTCCAGTGACATACTTCCTTCAGTAAGGCAATCCAAATAGGCTTTCTAAGCCTATCCAAATAGTGCCAACAACTTGAGCTGGAACCACGTATTCAATGCCCAAGACTTTTGAGGGCATCTCATTTGGACTAACACAAATTGGAGAAAGCCTCAGTGGAATGCAGGAACCCTGAATGATGGGGGGTATGTGCATGTTCCAGAATTATCAAAAGGCTATTTTGAAGCAAAGATACTGGGGACTCACAAAAGATCAAGCCAGAGAACAAACAGGAAGGGTGATCATATAGTACCACATTGATATTTAAGTATCTTGGCTTTTACTGCAGTGAAATTGAAAAGAATTGCGTGATTGTTGGTGGTAGAGTGGGTTAATATGCCTTTGAGAGCAGTAAATTTGGCTGATTTTAAAGGTTAGACTTTAAGTAATGTATTAGGCATCTATTTGTGTGTAAGAAGAAGCCTCACAATGCAATTACTTAAAATAACACATTGTTATCATATATAGTTTCTCTACATCAGGAATTGAGTATATCTTTTCTGGGTCCTTTTCTTCACCCTCTTTACAAGGATATATTAAGGCACTGAGGCAGTAGCTCCGTGGTAGATTGCTTAACTACTGTGT